GTTTTCATTTTTTAATAGAGATGGGTTGGGTTGGGGGAGATCTTCGGTCAGGAGAAACTGCGGCTATTTCTCTTTCTATCTCATCCCATTTCCGTCTGTGCTTTGATTACAATTCTTGTGAAAAAATAAAGAGATGAAAAGTAATATTGAAGCAGGAGGAGAGGGAGTGATGAGTGGGAAGAGGACTATAGTTCATGGGAGAGGACTGTGAAGAGGAACCCACTTTCTTTTTTTCCTTTTTGTGGGGTTTGACCTCCGGCTATCCCGCCAACTACAGCTCAGCCCCAAAAACTCACACAGCCGATTCACCTCCTTGTTCTTCTTCCTTTCTTCTCCCACTTTCTTCTCTCTCTCTCTCTTTCTCCTAAAAGAAATTTACAGAAATTGTTTGATTCTTTTTCTTTTTATCGCTCTTTCCCGTGTTTGTTGATGAAACATCTCTCTCTACATGCCTGGAAGCGACAGTGTGGGAGTGACATGCCACTGTAATAACAGGGTTTTAGGTTTCGAATTTTAGGGTAAAGACATTTTTTTTTTCGTCCCCATTATCTATCTATTTTGAAAATTTTGAGCCACTCCGAAACCAAATCGTTATAAATTATAGTTTTTCAATTAAATTGTTACCATGTCTAAAGTAAAAAGACCAAATTGTTACGTTTTAACCTTCAACTTTATAATATGTAATTGATGTCTTATCTACTATATTATGCTCGAATTGACAACTTCATGTAGAACAATAAAGATATAAAATTTGACAACTTCGAAATAATTTAGATAGATATTAATAATGTTTTAAATGTTTGATGAAAATATAAATAAGTTAATTAGAATTAATATTAATATTATATAGTTAATATCTTTTATATTTTGTAGATTCTTTTGTACTATGATGAAATTTTCGATTTAGCTCTCGTGTAGACGTCGAACCTACGAATACATGAATATATTTATGGAAATTTTAAAACAAATTTAAAGGCGCATATACAAATACCGAAAGTTTTGGAAGATAGTAGAAATTACCAATGAGATTGGAAATTTGGGATCTTTGTATCCAAATAAGAGCTTTCATTGGTCAAAAGTCAAATCTTTATCATGTTGGTATTTTGATGACATTTTGTATTTATCCTATCACATTGAACGTTGACAAAAGGTTATTTGATATTTCGTTATTAGTTTAATTATAATTTTACTCAATATAGTTTAATCATTATGTCAATTTGGTATTAATTTTTTTACTGTGTTATTGTCCTTTGTTAACATTTAAAATTTACTCGATATCTAAGATGTAGCAAAAAATTAATATTAGAGGTGGTCAATTATTTATACACATGGCAAATAAGTTATGAAATATAATATTTTGTGTTTAATGTCGTGTTTTTATATGATAAAGTTACATTAATTGAATTAGTAAATTTTAATTAAATTTTAAGATATTTTGTTTAGAAATAACAAAATGAGGTGGAAATGCCAATATGAACTTATCTCAACGTAATTGACACTTGTGTTTGACAAAGAGGCCGTGAATTTGAATTTCCTATCTCTACTTATTGTACTAAAAAATATAGAAGTCGATTTGTTCAATTGGTTAAGTCATATATCACTAAAAAGTAGTAGATTCGGATCTTCACTCCTATATATTGTTAGATATATTGCTGTACTAGAAAAGACATACCAAAAAATAATTTAAAGTTATATGAACTACAAATGTAATTTACCATTTATTTCTTTTGGAAATGACAAATAATATGAAGATATTGTTGCAGTATTTATGACTCAATTATTAACCTACATTTAACCAAATTTATTTATAACTTATTGGCGACAACTTAACTCATAAAGTTGTCTTTGATTTAACTTTGCTTTCATTATTAAAAAAGAATCGGGTTTTTCCTTTCATAAACGTTTTTTATGTCTTAACTAGTTGAGTGGTTTAAAATCGACGGAAAATACACCTTTTACGTTTGATATTTTGATTAACCCACTTTTTTAACAAGTAATTAATGTTCGCTTGAGTATTTGAGTTCTAAAAAACAATATATGTTTTGCCCAATGGTTTCAAAATTTTGCATAATTAGTCTTCACCATCAATTTTTTGTTAGCTACTTCAATATGAAGTTCTTTTAAGTTATGATTATATTATTTCAACGAATGTGGGAGTAAGAATATAAACTTTCGATCTTTAAAAAATTATAGAAATGTTTATATGTACTCTTTTAAAATTAATTTAGTAATAATTTTAAGATTCAAATTTGTAGTTTTTATTAATTATACATGTTAGATATCCTAAAAATGAATATTATTTTTAATTCAACAACTGGGGGATTATGACAATCTTTGGAATGGTGATATGTATCTTATTAAGTGAACTATGCTTAGATTAATTATCAATTTTTAACTAAGTTTATGATAAAAATCAACTCAAATTAACCGTTTATTTTTTTTCTTTCTG